ATAGAGTACTGGAAACTTGCACTGTACCACTAAATTGGTCTGAAGTCATTTTGAGCATGTTACATAAATCAGGCCCTTTAGATGATCCATCCAATTACAGAGGCATTGCCCTAGTTAACTGCGTGCCCAAAGTTTTCACTCAAATAATACTGAATCGCCTTGATATGTGGGCCGAAGAGGCCCAAATACTTCCTGAGTCCCAATCGGGATTCCGCAAAAATCGTGGTTGTATTGACAACGTGTTTGTGCTTTCCTCCATCATACAAATCCATATACGACACAAAAAACGGAAAATATTTGCTTTGTTCGTTGACTTCAAGCGAGCATTCGACTCTGTTTCACATAATCTGCTATGGCAGAAATTGTTCTCTCTTGGGGTTAGCTCTAACATAATTATGGTTATCAGAAACTTATACGAAAATGCTTCACTAAAAGTAAAAGGTAATGATGGTCTCACGAAATCTTTTGAGGTTACAACTGGAGTTTTACAGGGTGAATCCCTGAGCCCCCTTCTTTTCAATTTATTTATATCAGATCTGGACATTTTTTTCTCAGACAAAGGGGCACGAAGAATTAATATTGATAATAAAAATGACATGTTGATGCTTTCTTATGCCGATGACCTTGTGATACTTGCCGAATCTCAAACCGACCTTTCAAAAAAACTCAATATTCTTGAAAAATACACCCGTCTCAATGAATTAACTGTTAACACTGATAAAACTAAAATCATGCGTTTCTCTCAAGCAGGCTTTGGAGTTGATGAATCCTCAAAATTTTTATTCGAAAACAAAAAAGTCGAGATCACTTCCAAGTACTCCTACCTTGGAGTCACATTTGTATCTTCAACTCTCTTTAGAGAAATGACGGTTAGATCGGTGGTAAAAGGTAAACAGGCAATAGGTGCAATACTTCCAGTTATCTCCAAGAGCAAAACAGAATCTTGGAAATGCAAAATGAAGCTTTTTGATAGTCTAGTAGTGAGCGTCATGTTCAGTTGTGTTGCCGTCTGGGGCCTTAGATACGCTGAAATGTTGGAGCGTGTTCAGATGGTTTTCCTTAAAAGAATTTTACTTTTGCCTATTACATCACCTGACTATGTTGTCAGACTAGAAACTGGGAGAGTGAAACTGATTTACAATGTGTTTAAAATATGTCTGAATTGGATAACCAAAATATTGAGCATGGATGAAACCCGATTACCTAAGATTTGTCTCAAAAGGCAGCTCAAACTTGACAACTGTGACGAAAGGTTTAACTGGACAGTGCAACTGAAAAGTCTCTTCACCTCTTTAAACTTACCTGAAATTTGGTCTCAAATTGAACATGGCTCCATAAATAGAAATAAAAAAATGATATTGTCCAAATTTCAGGAAAAGCTATTTCAAGAAGATGTTTCTCTTTCAAGCCGTGCTATGTTCCTCTCTCTTCATTGCTTTTTTAGAATTACCAAGTCAAACCAAGATTTTTTAAACCTCAATAATGTACCCATCCAAGTCAAAAGAACCATTGCGCAACTACGTCTTTGCAACAAATACATTATCAAATTCACGCTGAATGGCTCTACGTATAGAATTGATCCAAGAGAAATTTGTACAATATGTAACAAGAAAGAACTGGAAACTATAGAACATATGTTGTTTGAGTGTCCAATTTACTGTGCAATGAAACCCCAAAATTTCGACTATCTATCTAATCTTGACAATCTTATCTATTCCCTCGATAATATTTCCACAAAATCTGCCAAGGTCATATATCCAACTATATCTGGAACATCTTGAAACTCCGTTCTTTCGTGATGAATGAATGAGTTTTCTCTCACTATTATGTACCACCTTTACTTTGATTCATCTTCTCACTTGTTAACCATTAGTATTGTATGTATTTTTTTTTTATGTAATTTTCTATATCCTCAATATCTTTTTTGCATCTAGTTATGTTCAATATTCATATATGTTTGCACCTGTACTTTCGAACCCTTGCTATAAAATGTATATTTTTGAAGCAATAAATGTATTCTATTCTATTCTATTCTTGACATTTTCGAAATCCTCAGTATAGATTCCGTGTATAGCAAGGTGCTTTCATTTCCATACTTGAAATAGAATTTTTTCACTGTGAGAGACTTTATGAGGGGGATGATTTCCTTTCGGTCTCTCAGGTGTTGAGAATTCCATCTCAAATTATTTATCAACATATGGTATATTTTATGATATGTGCTTATCTGGATGAGTTTCCATAACGATAGATTATTGTTTTTTTTAACAGAATTGGATGTTTCAATTAATTTAGAATTGTCAATCAAAAAAGGAAGTATTCTGAATAAACATTGTACGTGAAACCAAATCTGCTCCCTGATATTGCCATATACCAGCCAAGCCCTCTCAAACCCCAGACAGTCCACTCTCTCTCCCTGAACACTCAGGATACCGTCAAAGATGATGGGTGGGGGTTTTTCACCTTTTTTTGTTTGTGGTGGCTGGGAGTTCACGTTTTTGGCCTTTGGTTTCCTAGATGTTACAGCTTTACTTTGTGATTGCTTCGCTGATGCCTCCTCTTCGTCTGAGGATACGCTACTCCTCTGGCTATTAGGCTTCTTACGTACTTATGTTCAGAATATTTATAGAGAAAGAGTAATCCTCATGGAAAATGAGATTATATATCAGTCTAATAATGATTTCAGAAACTTTTTCATTCTTATGAAACCACTGAATGTTGGGCCGTATTCACTATATACTCCGAATAGACATTTTATTCAAGTGGGCATATTCCGCAGTTCCTTTGCGAATAAAATAGGTATACTCGTCTTCAGCGAACATTGTCGCGGTTTGGCGGTATGAGCGCTCTTATTGCAGCGGTGATCAAGGGAGCTGACATTGTCTATGTGTGTTATGATCTCTGAAGACGAGTGTACCTACCGCTTCAAAACTTCTGTTGCCTTCAAATTCTTTTTTTTTTTATATCACATGAGATTAAGCTCACTATTCGGATATGAAGAATGGATCGATTGACAAAAGGTATATATATATAGTGGTATAAAGGAAATTCAATTAAATCTTCACGTCCAGTGAATGTCCCTAAACGTATGTCCATTGTACTAGTGGTTAATGGATATCCAGTGTCCATGTCCATATGGACCAAGCATGGACATCATATGAATATCCATTGGATATCCTGTGTTTACTGGGGAAGACGGGGTACTGAGTGGAGAAGATGGTGAGGATGAGGAAGAAAGGAATGCCAGATGACATATGTCCTGGACAGCTGTAAGCAAATTGTGATATTGTATTGGCTTCTGGTCGACGAATCGATTCAATGGAACACATACAATCCAAAAATTCTTCGGAAAATTCAGGTTTTGTTGATTATGAAATATTAATTGATGTCCAGAAAACTGCTGTCCAAACCGATTCACTAGAAGACAACTTCAGCAGCGACTCCGATGTACCACTAATATCCTATAGAAAGCCGTCAACTTCTCCTTATAATTCACATTTACGTCAAGTCAAGTGCAGAAATTCCTCCTCCTATGCTAAGGATTACAGATTTGTTTGTGAGGAAGATAATTGTTCTTATAGTATACCCATATTTCCGCCTGCTATAATTATAAAGATTGTTCTAGAATAACACTCCATTAAATCTGAAATATATGCAGTTTTTCCGGGAAAACCAAATCCAAATATTACAGTTGAAGAGCTGAAAGTTTTTATCTCTATTTTAGTTGTAACTGGATATAATTACCATAGTCGAGCTTGAACACTTTGGAATACTGATGAAGACTTACAAAATCTATCGGTGTTCAAATCAATGCGCAGGAACAGGTTTCAGCAAATTACTGCAGTTCCTTCATTTCGAAGACAATCGTAAAAAAACTACAGACAATGATAAGATGTGGAAACTGCGTCCAATAACAGTTCATCTAAAAGCCATATGATTAGGAACTTTCATCCAGAACATTTATTATACGATGAGAGCATGATTGCATATTTTGGAAGACAAGGATGCAAACAGTTTATAAAAGGTAAACCTTTTCGCTTTGGCTATAAAGTCTGGTCTTTGTGCACTCCGTTAGGATATCTTGTAAACTTCGAAATCTATCAGGGAAATAATCTAAGATCAAATTCCCAGTATCAAGAGAGATTTGGAGAATGCGCTGCCCATTTGTTGACTATGATCGATGATTTCACACCAGATATTCAGCAACTTCCATTCTCTTTCTACTTTCATAACCTATTTACTGGATCTCCATTATTAGCGCCTACCTGAAATCGCGGGGTTACACTGCTACTGGAACCATTCGGTTCCAAAGAATTGCCCACTGCCGTCAAAAGAAAAAAAAATTAAAAAGAACGAGCTTCCACTGTTCAACAAAATTAAAAAGGTCATTTTTCATCTTCGGCATATGTCAAGAAAACAATTTCATCAGAAACTTATCATCGTCCTTCAGTAGCAATTTGCAACAAAGATTTCTATAAAGTAAGTAACAGGTTACATCGGTTGAAATTGGGATTACTCAAATACAATTTCGATATTGAATACTTACTTGGACAATGTTTGTTCATTGTTGACTTATTGTCAAGATGAGTTATTCATGAGTGGAAAAAAATAATTTAATATATGCCGATGACAAATTAGTCGTTCCATTCTCAAGACAGAAAATGCTCCATTAGATGTGGAGCTTAATTTGGAAGAACCTCTTCGACAACATTACCAATAAATGGTTAATAAACTGATAGTGTTTTATTAAGTAATAAGAATACAGTCTTTGATATTAATACTAAGAGCTCAACTAAAAGACTGAACATACATGAAGCGGTACAAAGAAATTATAGTCCATCTCTTTTAAAACATATTCGTGTCTCATGTTTTTTGTTCAACTGTTTAACAACATGACTAGCGTGTGCTCACACTTCAAAGAGCGTAACATAAGATGTTCGAGGAACTCTTATATAAACAACCTTCATGTAAATAACGAATGTGACAAAGCAGAAACAACTACCAGTTGATAATATAATTTATTTTTTAATGTTCATTTCAGACCAATCATTCAATAAATTAGTGTTTCAATTATTGTTTATAATCAAATGATTCTAGTATAAAACTATCAACAATACTACAAAAGATACCTACTAGAATGAAAAGAGGGAAAATGAGAAGAGGTTATGTACCCCATTTCAAACAAAAAAGTTTTTGTTTCCACTAATCTCCTCTGATAGATTCTAATTGATCGGCAGCTTCCCTTGATATTCTATGGTATTTAGCAGCAACAGGTCTGTAGTAATATGCTTGATAGTCATTCCTCTCAGCCATTTTTTGTTTTATTTGTTTTTCCAGTTTCCTATAAAAAAGACATATTGATAAATTCTGCAATATCTAGCAACAGTTCAATAAGAGCTATTTATGACTGAATAGCATAAGTGGGAGTCCACAGACTACGGAGCCAAATGGTTTCGGGGCTTCGGGGGCCAAATCGAGATTGAGTGCTAAATTATTCGAAGAATCCTGACAATTTTGGAAAATTCTGGATGAACCAATATGATGCAGGTAAATAGGGAATTTCACCATGATTTTTTTTTTAAATTTTCACGATTTAGAACACATACTGGGTGGTCTTACGATTGCGGTTGACCCAGAAAAAAAAATTAAATTGATCCTAAATTCAAACGATAGCTCGAATGCGCGCGAAATATTGATGGCATTTCATTGTACGAATACAAGGTGTGTCACACCGCGTCATACACTTCGGACAGACATTCTCATTGGGTAATTTGTCCTGTCACTTGGTCTTGTCACCATTTGTCATTGCATTTGTCACTCAATAAAAACTATAATAGTGATATTCTTTCGTTCTGAACGTACTGACAAATTTCTCTTGAACTGAACTGAATCAGTTGACATGCAATGAACGTCATTTGAAAGAACGCATATTATTTGATTCAGTTCAGTTCAAGTGAAATATTTCAGTTAATTCAGATTGAAAGAATATCACTAATATGACACTGATAGATCACTGAAAATAAAATGAAATAATGAACTATGAACTAGATTTCGAGGTTAATCTTTTTCTTCTTCTATAGTTTGTTTTGTAGCCATTTTTATCTCAAGTCACAGATCACCCAACCACTCTGTGATCGAGTTCTGTGTCTGTGGTTTTGTGCAACGCATCCGGGAGCCTCAAGAAAATACAAGTGAATTTGTAGCACTTTCGAAGTATTAATTAAACGGTTGTAAAGGAATATCAATCAATAGATGAGACTGATGAGAGGAAGTGCTTTTCGATATACTGAGTCATGTATGAGACCGTTTGTCATATAAAAAGGGCTATTCTCAATCAAAGTGAAATTGCCTATTACCTGGTGAACTTCAAAAATACTTTTTCATGATTCTAAAGCAACACCTAATCATGGTATGAAAATCAAATCATCTAGTAAGCTTCAGGCTATAACATGCTGATTACGATTACTCCAACAATACCTGGTATGACGAAAGTTAATGGCGAAATATGCTCGAATAGTATGACGAGAACCGATTCGAAGATACATATTTCTGTTCTGTTGAATGCTCACCAAATGATAATCTCATTGAATATAGAATAAAATACGGGGAATCCTATGAATTTCATAAAAACATAAATCATAATAATAGTTATAGCATTCTAGACTAGGCCATACATCAAAATATATATTTATAAAACTTCTTTAATTTCCTCAAATTTCATAAAAAGCTTAAAAAATATCAGTTTTCCGAATTTGCAGCAATATAATTGTATAACCTCGCGAATGAGTCTGAAATTAAAACTCTGAGCCACTTTTTGAAATGAATTTCTATGACATATTGCTATCCAATATCACTTTCTAGCGATTCCATTCGATCAATTCAAATTCTTGCCATTCTCAAGTATGTTACCATATAGACCTAATATACAGGATGTATCTAAATAACACCGAAAAAATTCAAGGGGTGATTCCTTGTGATATTTTAGTAAATAAAGTTCTTATAAACATGTGTCGAGGTATCGAGGTGTCTAGGTAAGTAAGTTCGTGTAGCGTTAATAATTTGCAATGAAAATATCACGCCAATGGCGTTTGTCTAGGAACATCACACCTAACACTTTTCCTCGTCTTCAAGGGGTTGGAATGTGTTAATTTGAACTGCTTGATATCTTTTCAATGATAGAAAGTCACCCAACTACAAACTTAATAGTAAGATATCGTTTTTTACGATTGCAACCCCATCTTGTGGAGATAAAAAAAGTTCCCTAATGAAACCTTCATAAATTTCAATGTTCTTTCAGAATCTGCTATGAAAAAACGGTTCCCTATTCAAGATTTTGATGTTACCCCTATTTCACACCCCCCTGGGTGTCGGGGGGGAGACTTGTTTCATAGTCGGACGTCCCCCTTCAAAACATACAATTTTTTGTCAACTTTTTATGTCAGGTGCAATCATTTCGAGAAATTTTCAAATAAAGATTAAAATGGGACACCCTGAATGTTAAAGCCGTAGAAATATTATAGTGTATTACTCGCACGGAATGCTAATTGCCCACTCGTAAGATCAGCAGCATGGGCCTCGGCCGGAGATGATTATGCACGATTCGCTGTTGCGTTCCAATTGACAGTGCTGCTCCTAAGGTCAGGTTAGGTTAGGTTAGGTTAGGTTAGGTTAGGTTAGGTTAGGTTAGTCAGTAACAAAGCCTACACAAAACACATGGGCTGAAGGACTACTCGTAAGGTCGATGGCTAGTTGGTATGTACATACACTCGTCTTCATGCGTCAATTGCATGTGCGACATGTTCTATGAAGATGACTGTACAAACCAACGGAGTACACATACTACTACTACTACTACTACTACTACTACTACTACTACTACTACTACTACTACTACTCAAAGCCGTGGTGAGGGACCACCCAGAGACATGCCTGAGGATACTAAATCATATATTGGCTACGGGAGTATTTCCAGCCGAATGGAAAGTATCGAGACTGGTTCTTATCGAGAAAGGCAAACCTAACCAAGGCAATAAGTCATATAGGCCGATATGTGTCCTGAACGCACTTGGCAAACTCCTCGAACTACTCATCCTGGCGAGATTGAACACAGAAATAGAAAGAAGCGGAGGCCTACATGTAGAGCAATACGGGTTTCGTGCAGGAATATCCACAACTGACGCGTTAGAAAGGGTACAAGAAATCACAGACGAAGCAAACCAGAGGATCGGCAGGAACAGGTGCGTGATGATTACGGCCGACATCCAGAACGCCTTCAACACGGCACCATGGGAAGGAATCTTGGAGGAAATCAAGAACAGAGAGATAGCCCCATATCTGTATAATATGTTAGCTAGCTACCTGGAAGACAGACTACTCATCGTCGGAACAACGAAAGATATAAAGATCACATGTGGGGTCCCACAAGGCTCTGTTATCGGCCCCACACTGTGGAATCTGTACTATGATGGAATCCTGAAGATACCCGTTCCTAGAGGGGTCAGGCTCATAGGATACGCGGACGACTTGGCTATACTGGTGGTAGCAAAAAGAGTGGAAGAACTTGAAAATACTTCAAATGGCGTCCTCGAGAAAATAACTAGGTGGCTGGTGTCTAGAAAACTCAAACTAGCGCCACAAAAAACAGAGGCAGTGATACTCGCAGCAGGAAGAAAAATTAAGAACATCACGGTGAAAGTTGATGATGTCACCATCAATAGCAAGGAGAGCATCAAATACCTGGGAATCCATATGGACAGAAACATGAGGATGGGATACCATGTGAGGAAAATAGCCGAGAAAGCCACTAAGGCTCTTGGCAATATAAGCAGAATTATGCCGAATATTGGAGGACCCCGCGAAACCAACAAGAGAATACTATGCTCTACTATCCAGTCCATAATGCTATACGGAGCAACCATCTGGCAAAGAGCCATGGACAAAAACATATACAGGAATATGCTCCTCAGTGTCCAGCGAAAAGCGGCAATAAAGGTAGCCAGTGCATATAGGACAACCTCAACAAAAGCCCTGCTTGTGGTTGCTAGAACACCACCAATATATCTTCTAGTAGAAGAGAGACGGATGATACAGGATAACACTAGTCGAGGGGCGGCTCGCGAATACATAATGAATAAATGGCAGGACAACTGGGAGTACGAAGAAAACACAGCGCGCTGGACAAAGAGGCTGATCCCGGACATACGACCATGGGTCAACAGGAAATGGGGTGAGGTTAACTTTTTTCTCACCCAGATCCTCACAGGGCATGGGTGCTTTCAGTCGTACCTACACCGATTCAAGCTGAATAACACAGATGAATGCCAATATTGCGGAATGTGTGATACAGCTGAACACACTTTTTTCGATTGCTGTAGATGGAATGAGCAGAGAAACAAGGCCGAAGGAGAGCTCGGGAGACTGACGCCGGAAAACCTGATAAACAAAATGTTGGTGAAGAAAACGAACTGGAAAACGGTGAGCGAACTGGCCATGATAATTATATCCACGAAAAGGAAAGAAGTAATAGGAAATGGAGAGGGAACATGATGGAAAAAAATAAAAGGAAGAGCCCATAACAACAACAGAACGACCCTCTTCGAAGTAATACCCGAGGGAAGTCCCGAAGAGGCCTTCCTAAGTTCACGAGTGGTTTTTTAGTCAGTAAAAATCTGACACTGTCTGGTCAATGGGCGACCATTCGTCTTTTTGAAGATTTTCCACTCCCAAAAAAAAAAAAAAAAAAAAAAAAAAAAAAAAAAAAAAAAAAAAAAAAAAAAACTACTACTTAATACATGAACAGTTTTGGTACACCATGTATGGATAAATATTCCTGTAATCATACTGTCGGATGGACGATCAATAGACCCTTTGAATAGAGTGTCACATTTTCTCTGTTTATGTTTGTGAAAAATTAAAAGTATAAAACAAACTTTTTAAAAATAGTCTTCCAGTTAAACGCTCTAAAAAAAATTCAAAGTATCAACTTATAACATCAATATGCACAATTTATATGATCATAAAAGCTTGTCGCGATGATCAATTTCCAATTAAATGGAAAACATTTAAACTTAGCAGATTTTACATAATTAAATTAGTACCAGTTTATTTAGCCAAGTAAATCGCGGGACAAGCTTTTATGATCATATAAATTGTTTATAATGAGGTTATAAGTGGAAAGTTGAAATATAAATGGAACATTTTATTTTCTTCTTTTTAGAGCGTTTGAATAAAAGCTAGGTTTCTCAGTCTGTTCATCTCATTCAACGCATCATTATTGTAAGGTCGTTTTCCGGTTAATTCATTTTTTTAAACCTGCATTTTTATTCTTAGCGAACCCTTTCATTTTATAGAGCACAAAAAACTTCAATAGTGCGCTATATTGGATTTAATGTGATGTCACATTATTTCTAATTATTTTTGGCACGCCCTTTCATTTGATACCCATATTGCAAAAGTGCATAAATAATAACTATTCCGCCATCTTGGATGATCCACCATATTGAATTCAGGATGGCGTTACATTATTTTTCGAGTTGCTTTCAACGGGCCCTTTCATTTGATACCCATATTGTAGATGAATGCATTAAAAATAACTATTCCGTCATCTTGGATGGTCCCCCATATTGAATTCAGAATGACGTCATATTATTTTTCGAGTTTCTCTCAACGAGTCCTTCCATTTGATACCCATATTGAAAAAGTGCATTAAAAATAACTATTCCGCCATATTGGATGGTCCGCCATATTGGATTTAGAATAACGTCACACACCTTATCGTGCATTGTCATCCAAACTGAACGTGTATACACAATTTCAGCTCAGTCGGTTAAAGATATCTAGGTACTTCGAAATTGCGTACCTTGCAATTTAAATAAAAGCTTTTAAAAAATCGTCGATTATGTAATTACGCCAACACCTGTGACAGTTTTTTCAAATCGACTATTTTTAGAATGATTCTATACTTTTGCATCTTGCCGTATTTTGATAGGTAGGTTCTTACCTGAGTTGTCGGGTCTCCTCTTCCATGAAAATAAAGGCCAAGTATTTTTCATAATCTTGTTGGGGATCATTGAAGAAATATCTAGCCAAAAATCTAGTCACCGGGCTCTGAAAATATTGTCTTAATTAGGTAGGTATCTACTAATATCGTACAGTGTGCTCAAGATAAGGATGAACAGCATGAGGATCATTTTGTGAAAATAAAAAAGTAGCCATGAAAAAGTGCCTTTGGTTTTTTTGAAGCTTTTCAAATAACTTCACAAAAAAATAAGAACCAAAAATCCCATATCAAATACCTCCGGAATTAGGCAACATTTATGAAATTTCTCAACATCAATTAATAGATCTCTTAATTTTGCTCATTTGACCAACTGTGTAACTCTTACGGTTATACCCATTCTATGCATCATTATCTTGGGCACACTGTATACTATTGCAAATGAAAGATATATTGTTAATTTGATCAGAAAAACATGGACGCTTCATGTGATGAAATAGTCCTGAACTTAAGCATGAATTAGTTGAGGTAGGTATATGTGGTATATACATATAGGTAGTAGAAATGTATATTGCATTTTCTCAGGAAAAACTGTAAAGTATAAACTTGGAAGCACCGCATTGATTTTACGAAAAAAAAAACACATTAGGCCTAATGGGTTCATTCTGTTCACATTGTCAACTTGAAATATTTCAGTTATCACGGGTTTCTATTTTCCAAGAATTTCAAATCCACTACATTCCACTATATTTTCTCAGGTTCTAGTAATCTCATATAATAATAATCTGAATAAATGTATATATTTTAGGATAACGTAAATACTTTCTGCTAATTCTGACATGTAATTTGAAACTTTTCAAAACTGACGGAATTTTCGAAAGGTCTTACTTAACGTAACCAGTTGTGTAGAGTAAAATATTACATAACTGGTGATAAAATGTGCAGTTCAACAGCAGTTAAGTATTCAAAATCTGGATGGACGAAGAGAAGAGTTCATTTTGTGCTGGTTCGTCACTTGGGAAATCTAAACTTGAATCACCCATTTTCCACTAATGAAAACGTCGTAAAAACATTCATATGGGCAACACTCGTGTCATCATTTGCGATGTCATATAAACATTCCATCACAATGTTTGGGATGGCACAGGATGTACCAGAGACATTCAGGGTACTTGATATGAAACACCTTCAAGAAACTTTTAGGATGTTTTTAGTTTGATGACAGTGATGTATGACATAGTATAACATCAAATGAACCATTTTTAATCTGAAATTCTGGAAAAGGCAGACCTATCCTCAGAGCACGAACTCTTTTTGCCCAAACATATGCATAGGCGATTCCTATAGAACAATCCAAGAAGCGCCTGCGTGTTGAGAAACGTCTAGGATGCAACAAACATGCAAAATAACAAATAATCCATTAGGGGGTAACTGCTTTTGTCGACTAAATTCTTTCTGGAAAAGGAATATTCTCAGAATCGTGAATGGATTTTCTCAATTCAGATTTTCTTTCCACAACTTGATGTAAATCAACTCATCATACACTGTAAATAAATTCTTTATTAATTCTTTAATTTTCATTATTTCCGTGACGCAGTTAACTGTGCATTCGGATTACACGCCGTCGACCCGGGTTCAATTCCTGCGACAACCGCCTTTTTTCATTCTGTATTCTCAGGTGATTTTCCGAAAAATAAACTTTTTAGTGAGAATGTGCATTCAGGTCAAGTAAGGTTAGAATGTTTAAAAAAAGTAGGCTCCTTTCAAATGCAAATGGGATAATTTCCTTCTTCCCTGAAAAAAGCACTGTGGAGGCATTTATTGTTGAGGCTGATAGTGATTCGCTATTCCCATTGAGATTACTCAATAACCCAAATTACAATCATTTTGAAATTTTGGGGCTTTGTCAGTCTCCATCCATACTGAATTTGGCACCATGAAAGCTTATACGGGAGGGTTATAGGTAAATAAAAACAATTAATACTTCCAACTTGTATGTATGTATATATACATCCTGTATCTCAAAAACGGAGCAAGTTAAAACACATGTTTATATGAACTTCATTTGCTAGAATGTCACAGGGAAACACCCCTTGAATTTTGCTTGAAGTGTTCATTGGAGATAACCTTCCATCATCATCATTTCAGTGATGAAGTGTTACACTATTGCCAAGAAAACAATATTGCATGTATTTGCCTACCTACTAATTCTACGCACTTGACACAACCTCTAGATGTTACGTTTTTTCGGCTATTGAAATCAGCATGGAGGTTGCAATTGTTGAGATGGAAAATGGAAAACCCGAAATTATCTGCCTTGAAGGAGAAGTTTCCAATGATGTTGAAAAATACTTTAGATAAAATGAATGAATCAGGCAACCATGCAGGTGATGCAATATAACACAATTTGAGAATCGGTTTCGAAGCAACTGGTGTGCATAAAATTCCAAACGAGAATAAAAAAAATGAGCCATTTTTAGCCCATAACTAAAACAATTTGGTTCAATATATTTAAAAAAGAAGATATTGAATATCGTTGCTAGAAGAAGCGTTTCTTGTCCGGAGTCTGAATCTGAAAATGACGATGATTTGACGAATCACAGAGACATGTTATCGGTACATAGCTATTGTTGAGAATAAACTGGAATATGATCAATAGTCCACTAATACAGAAAAATCAATTTTTAAAGAGGTGGAGACTCAGTGAACCAAAAATAGACATTTCTGGAATTCGCCTCAAAAGATTTTTTCACAAAACCATTTGATGTTTTTAAGCGTTGAACAGCAGCTCAAAATTTCAATTAAGTACATTACTTTCACGGCAATTTGCCTAATTAGGTATGTTCACGATTTGTTTTATTGGTATATTGCACAAATGTATTTGTTCATATATATAATCCATTTTTTATATTTGTATATCATTTATCCAATTTGAGAGATGATGTCAATTCTCAATTTCAGATGATTTTCATTTTCCATGCTCTCTTTTTGGATGTTCAACAGATATAATTCAATGTTCGACGTGGCAAATAACCAGGAAAGTAGTTGTTTTCTGTTAAATATTCAGAATGATATGATGTGCATATCTTTATATGAAGGAGAATGCAAATTCTTTCCCTCAGATGATTTTGCTTTCAAATTCTTATCGTGTGTTCAATAGATGTAATTCAATCTTCGTCGTGTCATATAGCCAGAAAAGTAGTTGTTTTCTGTTGAATGAACCGAGAAAGAAATGATATTTCCATCACATAGAGAATGCGAATTCTGAATGTATTTCTTTATATATATATCCAATTTTTTATTTTCATAATTATATCTGAGAATATTCCTTTGCAATACAATTTGTCAAATTGAATTCATGTTCATCGAATGAATATTTGTTTTGGAAACTCATTATTGCTTTTCATTCACCAAAGAATATATTCTGTCTATCCTACCAACGTAAAGTATAATGTATCAACCTGAATAATTGGGGTGAATTTGATAACACATTCAACTAATATGGATTATCAATTGCACCCCAATGCAGTGCAAATTTGATAAATAACGTCTGCACCAAAATGGTAAAGCATGAAATTGATAACTTATTTTGATAATCCTGTACAAAGGACGCTAAAAAATTGGCCCTATCAAAGTCAAATATAGGTGATTGTTTGATAACGTGATTTAGATTTTTTTTCGATTGGTTTTATCAAAAAAAGATTGCATGGTCGGATTCTATTCTATATGGATATACAAATTGTACAAACATTTTATCATCCTGGAAACCTTCATAGGTTAAATTATATTATTCGAAAACTTGAAAATACTATCAATTTAACCCCATTTTACGGGAACATGGAAGTCACTGAAGGGGTACCGCAAGGCTAGATTTTAGGACCAGACCTATGGATGTCTTGTTTAACGGGATCCTGAAAGTTGTTTTACCGGAGGAAACGAGCTCTATTGCCTATGCGGACGACTTGGCCCTAGTGGTAACGGCCCATAACCAAGGACGTCTTATCAGGAAAGTAGAGGAGGCAACAAGCAGAATTCTCAGGTGGCTCACTGACCATTACTTGGAGTTGGCATCTGAGAAAACAGAGGTTGTGATACTGAGGGGTCCCCGAAATAGATACTTAGCATTTAATATTGGAGGGGAAATGGTGAGGCCTGTGAAAGCGGTGCGATATCTTGGTATAACATTGGACGATAATATGAGCTTTGGAGAGCATATCAAGAGAGTGGTAAGAAAGACAGAGGGCAGAGTAGCAGCCTCATCCAGAATTATGCCCAATATAGGTGGTCCAAACAGCGTCAAGAGGAAGGTCCTCAATGGAGTTGCCCATCCAATCCTTTTGTATGGGGAACCAGTCTGGCATGGCGCTATAAGAGAAAGATGGAATCAGTGCAGAGGAGAATGTTAATTCGTGAAGCAAGTGCTTATAGAACGAACAAACTGGGAAATGGACCAAAGAATTGATACCCAACGTGGCAGCATGGATAAGGTGCGGGCACAGAAGAATGGATTACTTTCTCACACGGGCACTCACAGGTCACGGATCTTTTGGAACGTATACATGGAAGATTGAGAAGACGGAGAATCCAGAATGTCGGTATTGTGGGAGCGAAGACTCACCGGAGCACACCTTGTTTCATTGTCCACGATGGGAACGGGACCGAACACAACAAACGAAAGACTTGGGGGAAGAGATAACAGTGGAGAACATGACCAACAAGAGAAGAAGTCAAACTGGGAGTGCATACAAAGGACGATTAGAAGCATTATGAGCCGAAAATAGAAGGAGTAGAGAGTAGCACAGACAAACGAGGAGGAATAGAGATCAGGCCACCTAACACTCTCGATGAATGTCCTATAGGACGATACCGGAGTGTTGGGAGAAGACGGTGGGCTTTTACGTTTTTCCTATATGATGCCAACTTTATGAATGACACTGTATATAAATATATCCATTTTTTCATGTTCATAATTTATCTGAGAATATTCCTTCTCAATACAGTTATTTTATTTTCGATCTAGCAAAGTATCTTTTTGAAAACAATTTATTTATCAAAGTACAAAAACAGAGAGCGAATATTATTAGATGTTTCTTGTACAAAGTTATAAATCTGACTGAATGTTGGAATGAACAAATGTAACAAGAAGATTTAAAGTTCTTAGGAAGCTTATCGGAGCCGGTGATATAAATCCTGCCCTCGAAGTTTCAACTTATGCAGTGGAGCGAGGAAGTTGAACCTCTGTCAAATTTATCCCTTGATTTTGGTTGGTCGAGTTCTTGATCCGTCCGATGATTTTATATATGATATAATACCAGATGCTACCAGGATATACAGGATGATGGTCCAAGTGGGAAGTGGGAAGATGAGAGATGGTTGTATTCTGTAGGTCTGGCTAGTTTTCGATAATTTTCTTCGCTATAAGGTGGATATCGGCCAAATTTGTTTTTTCTAGGTGCATGGTCCAATTCCGTTTCCTTTCGAGACTGATTCAATGGAAAGAGAATCAATTGACGTTGGTTCATTGATTCTTCTTCATTGGCGATTTGTTTGGTGTTGGTTATAACTTGACATCCAACAGGAATTTCTTGGAGATATGAAACAAATAATTGTAGGAATTCTTCTTGTTTTCGGCACTTCAGGCTGACCATCTTTTCGTGTGGAAATACGGCAATCCATTGTTTGGATTCCAGTTGTCTATCGATAAGCTTTGAAATTTTCACCGAAACTTGTTGACAGTTTGAAGGGTGTTTTTCATCGAACAGTTGGATTTCGCATGGGCCTCCTATCACGTCGATTTTCTTGCATATGAAGTAGTTAAGGACGAAAAAATGCGAAGTACAGATCACTCTTCAAGAGAAATCTGTCATTTGGTAAAATAGTCTTAAACTCATTCAGACTCGGTACAGGTTTTGAATATGATTGATAATAATCTAATTTTTCTGAACATGTAATAGGTAAATGTAAGAGGTGAGTATGTAATTTTGTTATTTTTGATGTAACATTGGACATCTGTTATTTTTTCGTTGAAAAAAAACATTATCTGAAATAATTTCGAATGGAAATTGATCTTAATTGATCGATTTTTTTAGTTTTGAAAGGGTGCAGTGTTTAATTTGGAAAGTCATTACATTTTCAATATCCTGTAAAAGGGAAGTTGATTACCTAGTGTAAATTCATCATATGGTTCAGGAGATCTTTGACTACCAAAGTGTGATTCATGTTTTGACTAAGTCATATATATGAGGCGATTTGAGAAATTTTTGATTTCAACTCCTTTTCGTTGTGGGTGGTTTTTTGAATTGTGTTGTTGAATTTCTGTATGATATCGATGGAAATTGGAGTTTGTTTGACAATGTTTCTTGCTAATCTGTTTGATTAAATATCTTTTATCATCTGTTCATAACGTTCGACGTCGCTAGAGTCTAAATTCCCAGCTTTGAAAAATGATCCAAGGCCGTATAATAAACCTCTCTTGTTGCGTTTTGGCTGTGGAATTATCCTTGTTATCTAATTTCAGCTCTTCCTTTCAAATTTTCTGAAGCATCGTTTGAATAATTTTCATTGACACTGAGACTCTCCATCAATTTTCCATATTGTTTATCGAGTTTTTCTATTTCGTCTACTATGGGGTTAAAGTCGAAAAAATGTATAAAGGTATGCATGTACTCTTGTACTTTGGCCGTTCCTAACTCAACAGGTAAAAGTCAAGGGTTGGTTTTCAAGTTTTTTATTTGGATCGTTTCCTGATATCCCATCGTGAGTGGGAATCTGAAATATTATTACTAACTACTTAATCAAAACTACCTATATGTATTTCTTAAGGGGTGTTTCAGATTCATGTCATTTTTGAATTTATTGGAGATTTATCAAATCCTTGTGCATTCAACAATCTTATATCCTCAGTTAACGTGGAATACAGTCTTTATATGACACCGTTAGACTGGGGGTGGTTTGGTGAGAAAAAAAGGAGGAATTATTTTATGGAGGGCCAAGAGCTCGGTTATTACGGTATTTTTAAATGTTGTGCCATTGTCTACAGTTATTTTTTTTTATACACCATGGTGTGAAAAGAAGGTATTGAGGTTATTTGTTATGTCAGTTGAACTCAAAGTTTGTTATTTATAGGCTTGGGCGTATTTTGAAAAAGTGTATATGATCGTTAAAAATTTAGTTTTTTAAAGTAAAAGTATCTAAGTGGATTATTTCGAATGGTTCAGAAGCTGTTGTAGTATTCTTCTTCATTTTGATTGGTTCCCTCTCGTATTTGATTTCCTGGCAAATCTCGCATTCATTAATGGATGTTTGAATTGATTTTTCAAGATCTGGCCAGTTATATTTAGTTTTTATCCTATTTTCTGTTTCGTCTATGCCACGATGGATCGTTTTACTATCGTGATAGTTTTTAATTATTTCTAAAACATCGCCCTTATTTGAGAACGGCCACACAAAATTTCGTCTGACAACTTCAGAGAATTTTTCATACCTATTTGGTTCGTTAAAATACAGGTAGTACTGAACTGTTGGCACAACATAGTTTATTGCAATTGAATTCTTGAATATTACATCTATCAAATTTTTCAACGTCCAGTGGGACAGAAAGATCTAATGTAATTAGCTTAGTCCTATTATTCAAGATAGAAGTTATGGCTTCGCCATTTTTGCAATAGCAAAGACTCTGGGATATCTTACAATTATGGATTTTTTATGGGGTATTATAATTTCACCATTATCTATTGAACTTTTGACTTCAATGATTTGTTCCGATCATGGAGCAATTTTTATCAAGTTTAATTCGTTTCTTGTCTTATGATAAAATAACTTGATATTAGCATAAGGCATAATCAAAATTGATTTGTGGAAATTCAAGTTAGCTTGCAATAACTTTAAATTATCTAAACTTATTGAACCATGAAAAGAATAATTGTGAAATATAAATAAATAAAATTAAGCAGATGACGACTGTGTTTTTATGAGCTGATTTCTGGAAAACAGTTGAAAGAATAAATGGATCATTCGAATTGAATTTGAAAAATTGTTGAATGCAATTCCGGGGACCATGAAAGATTTGAAAGAAAATATTATATAGGGTGGGGTAGAATCCGTACTATTTTATGAAATTATTTGTTAATTTATGTCTGCTTGTTTTTTGGGGTGGTCTACGTATACATTTTCATCATAAAAATATTCGTTTTCTTCATCAAATGGCTTTGAATGATTATTTTCACCAATTTGTTCTTCACACTGCGATTGAGGTGTAGCATAATCAACTTCAGTATTGAAATGTTCTTCGTGATTGAAAGTTTGCCTAGTATTAACACTCATTGGTGTTTAATTAGATGTAGGTTTGTAATTTGGATTGGGTTTGAAAACATTTGTGTTCTGATTCTGTTGAGGTCTAAAAACTTGAAAATTTCTTGTGTTTGTTGTGATTGATCATATGTTGGCCTGGAGTTGATATTTGGTTGGTGATTGAAATCCGAATAATTTCGATTTCTGTGATAGTTAATTTGATGTCTAAAACTTGATATGACCTTAAAATTAGGTCTAGCAATATTCTGAATGATACTTAAAGAATTATTTTGGGAATCATGTTGGTAATGATTGTTTTCTTCTTGACATATGAATTGAAGTGCCTCATTCAAGTCATTAGGACGCAAACATCTAATCATATTTCCAAGCGGTTCTCTCAATCCACCCAAAAAGGATTTGAATGCTAGTTTGTCATACAAATTTCTTTTAACATCAATATATGAACACAATAAATTCAGAAGCTGAAGAACACAATCGAAAAATTGCTGAGGCTTCTCATTCAGTGATTGCTCAACCATTACCAAATCTCTATTGAGACAAGCCTCATCTCTCTGATCTATGAAATTAATATACAAGGTATTTTTCAATTCCTGCCACTACATACTACATGTATGCTTGAAAAATAATCATTTTGTAGGTCTGAGTCAGAAGAAGACGTTACCAAAGATAGATTCCCAGAAAGCTTTCTCAAGTTTAACGACGTAAACTGTACTCACAGTATACAGATTACTTTCCTCATCGTTCACCTAACTTATGCAGAAATTGCCGGTTCCTCTGCTGTGTCTTCACCTGGTCAATTGCGTCGCAGAGAAAGATGTCTTTCCATCTTTGGTTGGTTCTGGTTGATTTCCACTGGATAGGTCCTCGATGGACTGGGTTGCCTAGGGTTCATGGAGCCACTCTGTCCGAAGAAAATGTCCGAAAACCACTCGAAAGTTCTTTTGAGATGGCCGGTTAATTGTAGAAACAAAACTAATGCACGATGCATTAATCCCGACTATCCTACCGACTGCGCCAATTTCATTTTCGAACTAGCAAAATCTCTTCAAAAACAATTCATTCATCGAAGTACAAAAGCAGAGCGAATTTCATCAGATGTTTCTTGTACAAAATTATAAATCTGACTGAATGTTCGAATGAACAAATGTAACAAGGAGATTTTGAGGAGTTAGCTAAATCGAAGATGTCCCTGGGAACGTCGGTGCAGAATCTTCAGTTCTTAGGAAGCTTATAGGAACCGGTGATATAATTCACTTTCTTTATTTTATTTTCTACCTCTTTTTAGGTTGGCTATCAATAAAAGGGTGTTTCTTCTGTTTTTGAAACTACTATCTGTATATAGCCAGCTCTTAGACTATAAGGTTACAGGGATTGCAATGAAGGATAAGGGCGGTAGTAGGTTTTCTAACGAATGAAAATTGTGAAATTATCTTTTTGTGGTAGTCATACCCTATAATACTCCCAATATTTGGGCTCATAATCCTCAGGTATTTCTGTGAGAGTAGCAGGTCCTACGAAAACATTAGCATAAAGGACTCCTAAACTGCAAGGGATTACTCCTAACATCATGTAATAGTGGAGGTGATCCTTGAATTTTTTCCACTGCCATCTTGTAGGTGTCAATGGAAAAGTTCTATGCTCAGACATACATCTTTTGACAACTGAAAAGGAGTTGAAAATGCCTTAAGAACATACTTTCATACAACAGAAGCTGGCAAAGCCATTTACGAATTTCAATATGAGACTCATCACATTATTTTGGGTTCATGACAGACGAACTCACCACCCCATTCGGGGCGCCGTGGCCGAGTTTGTTTATGCGCTGAAATTCACTAGATAGCCGCTCACTATGCCAAGGTACTGTTGGTGCGAATCCGGCTTGGCTGAGCATTTTCCTTAAAAATGTGTGATTCATGGTTGTGATCATGGCAGCACCTGGATGACCTAGAAGTGGTTTGGATTCCACTATAACCTGTAGGTCCCGCTTCTCCTAACCCCGCACAAGTTTCAAATTCTGAGGGGTTCCCAACTTCGAAGTAGTGATATAAAAATTTCACAAATTTTCAAATTTTATAAAAAATTCCCACATTTTTTGCCCCTCTCTATCATAGAAAAATCTATGGCTTCGCTCTTCGGCCGAACTCAGAAAAGCCATTCATGAAAAACAATATTTATTTATATTTGATATAGTAAATGTATTCATCTCCTTCATAGAGAAAGCTATGGCTCCGGGTGAACTCAGCAGAGTATATTTTTGAAAACCTAGATTTTTCACCGATTTGATATATCGGGGTTTGAATGGTAATTTTAGGCTAATTAATTACCCCATTTTCAACATTTTTGCTCAACGTATCTAGAAAAAAACGAAACGATTTGTCGAAACTCGCGTTTCTATCAAAAGCATATTTCATGCAACATAGTTGTATACTCTAATAAGCATGGACTGAAGATTAACCCAAAGAAGACCCAAGCTATATGTTTTGGTAATGTATCAGTAGAGGTGAAATCTGATTTGAAAATTGAAATTGCTACTGTTAGAGTAGAACCCTGCGATGTAGTGAAAAGTCTAGGAATTCTTATTGATAGTAAGCTCAGATTCTAGGGACAGGTTAAATCTATTGTTTGTAAGTGAGTAACACTTAACACTTCATTGAAGAATCTATATCGCAGTAGGTCTTTCATCAATGTACCCTTGAAAAAGCAACTATGTGAATCACTAGTATTGAGTCATACTAATTATGCTGATTTAGTTTATGGCCCATGCTTGTATGCAGTTTCATCAGCGAGAATTCAAAGAATTCAGAATTCCTGTATCAGAATAATTTACTCACTCAGAAACAGAGACCACATTTCTCATAAACTTAGAGAATTGGGATGGCTCAATATGTTCAATAGGCGTAAATTGCATATTGCCTGCTTGGTTCACAAAGTATTGAAAGATGAAAATCCTATTTACATTCATCATTGATTAATACTCACTTCGGAAATTCATAATCGTTTCACTATATAATGCAGTCAAAATATACAATTCTCTCCCACAAGAGCTCAAGAATAAATTAATGTTTCACTTCATTTGGATCATATTATTAACACAGAGCGTTATCAAGTTATTATTGTATTTTGTTAATTTTTCAACATCCTTTATACATGATGTTTCTCGGTCTACAGAAAATAGTTGATAAGCACTTTTTTTAATATAAGAACTTGTCAGAATAAAAGTCAATCAAGTAAAAAGGAAAATTATTGATAAAATTGAGATAGAGTATTTTATATGGTCCTTCAACCCTGTATAGACACCAAAAGTGGTGATACAGTATATTCAGCAAAATTTAGACAGCAGATAAATTCCGAGGGAAACAGCTGGTAGAAATACAAGACTTGGTGCTGATCAATGGGAAATGGAAAGTCTAACAAGAATATTGCCTGCAAAAATAGTCCAACATGCCATCATTCATAATGAAGATTCTTCAAGAGGAAGTCGTGCAGCTGGAGGAGATGAAGTTCCCGAAAATAGGGATGATGCAACAGGAGTTAGCAGAAGCAGAAATAGAAGAAATGAGCAGTAACGGCGATTCAGTCAGTCACGGTAAAGGGAAAAGTTTGATAAGTATTGAAAGCATGGTCAATGGAGGAAAGAAAACTGAAATCCAGAGTTGGATAGGAAGCTGTGAGTATTTCAATGCTTCAAATGATATTCACAAAATGAACGAAATTCCTAAAGATGATGATGATAAAATGTCAAAGTTATGTAATGTCATTGCTGATGCTATCAAAACAGTGTCAAATTCCAATAATGTGCCACAAGAATTTCTCAGTAGACAAATAATGAACAGGGACTTTCCAATTTTCGAAGGCAAGCCCCAAAGTTGGCCTTTATTCATAAGCCAGTTTGATAGAAAAGTTGAAATATGTCATTACACTGATGATGAAAAGCTATTGAAATTAAAAAAATGTTTAAAAGGTGATGCTTTGGAAGCAGTAAGGAGTTTGTTGTTGCATCCCAAAAATGTGAAATTGATCATGGACACAAATGGACAAATGAGATTTGGTCGTTCGGACATAATCATTCGCTCCTTATTGGACAAAACTCAGTCTATTCCATTTATCAAAGCAGGTGATTTTAATGTATTCATAAATTTTTCATGTTACGTCAACAATTTGGTAGCGACGCTTGAACAATTGGACGCAAGTACCCATCTACAAAACCCTTTCTTACTGGAGCAGTTGGTGACAAAAATTCCCAGTAGCCTCAAACTACAGTGGGGACAAGTTGTTATGCAGAAGGAAGGTAATGCCAATCTGAGAGATTTTAGCTTATGGGCAGGTGAGGTATCTACTGCTGCATGCTACGTGAGTACAGGAAATACCAATTTTTCAAATAATAATAGGGAATACAACAATAATTATCGATATGGAAATGTTATGCAGACAAATCATCAAACAGAGAAAAAATGTTCTTATTGCAATGAGTTATCCCATCAGATCCATGATTGTTCAATAACGAAAAATGATAGCGTCGATGAAGTTTGGCCCAAAATTTCCAAGCTAAAGATTTGTTATTGCTGTTTACGTTTTAGTCACATGAAACGGTATTGCAAGTCCAAGCAACATTGTGGGTTTGAGGGATGCACGAGACGTCATCATAATTTATTACATGAAGTTTCAACTGATAAAGAACAAGTTAATAATAATAGTCAGGCGAACAAAAATGAAACTAAGGCTGAAGAAATGGTATGTACTATAGAAAATGATTCCAAAGTTTTACTTAGGATTTTATCAGTTAAAATTTATGGCCCACGTGGATGTATAGATACTCATGCTTTCTTTGACGAAGGATCAACGGTTTCTCTGATGGAAACCAAATTGCTGATCAGTTAGGAATATCTGGCCCTATTGAACCAATTTGTATGCAATGGGCAAATAATATGGTTGCATGTGACAACAATTCGAAATGTGTTGAATTTAAAATATCAGGAATACATGATGATGCAAAAATTTTCAATATAAGGAATGTCAGAACCATCAAAGATCTCTCGTTGCCTACTCAAACTATTAAAATGAAAGATTTTGAAAAATATGCACATCTCAAAGGATGCCTATTGCCTATTCGAGATATGATAAAAGCTAGAAAAATTTATCAAGGTGTATCTGATCGCCCTATTGCAACAAGAACATCTTTAGGATGGGTTTTACACGGAAATGTTTACCGAAACGATAATGGAAACATCTATAACTTTCATATTTGTTTGTGCGAATATGAATCTGATTCAGAGTTGAACAAACTAGTGAGGGAATCATTTTCTACAGAGGGTTTTGGAGTTGTTTCAACAGATAGAAAAATCAAATCAGACGAAAGAACAGCACTAGAGATTTTGGAGCAAACTACAAAGTATTTACCTGAAGATAGACGTTATGAACTGGACTACTGTGGAAAAGAGACGATATAAGATTGCCCGAGAGTAAGTCTACAGCCTACAGGAGACTACTCTGTGTCGAGAACAAGATGTCCAAGGATGATATTTATCGTCAGAAGTATTGCGAAAAAATTGAAGATTATCTGAGAAAAGGTTATATCAAAAATCTCAGTGAAGAAGAGACTAGACAAGAGAATGACAAAACTTGGTATCTACCTCATTTTGGGGTGATAAATCTAAATACACCAAAGAAATTCAGACTGGTATTTGATGCAGCAGCCAAAAGTCCTGGAGTCTCTCTCAATGACAAATTGCTTCAAGGAACTGATTTCTTGAGTTTTCTGCCAGGAGTACTGAAGAGATTTAGGAAATCGAGATGGGGGTTTTGCGGTGATATAGCCGAAATGTTTCATCGAGTCAAAATAAGGGAAGAAGACAGATGTGCACAACGATTTATTTGGCGCAATGGAGAAAGCAAAAAGCAGGCAGATACATACGAAATGCAGGTAATGATTTTTGGATCTTCTTGTTCTCCTAGTGCAGCACAATATGTGAAAAATTTTAATGCTAGACGATCATCTTCTCTCGATTTAGTTGAAGACGTTAGTTATTTAGATTCAAGTACTACTGAAATTGGGGCTGTAGAAAAAGTTGAATGAGAGATTTGGAAAGACAGATGCAGTCAAAGATTTGAACAAATCTACAATTGATAGAGTTCTGCGCATATGGTGGGACACTGAAGCTGATGAATTCACATTCAAACTTGCTTTCCACAAAGTTCCAGAATCCGTCATGAATGGTTCCAGAATACCAACCAAGAGGGAGGTCCTTCAATTAACCTTTTACAAGATATCTGGAGAAGCGGAATAGCATGAGATGATACAATTCCCCAGAGTATATTCGAAGATTGGAAATTATGGATGAACTATCTTAAATTGATTCCTTCTATTCGCATACAGAGATGCTATTCATCGCATAATTTGAATCTTCTGAAATCCATGTATTCTGCGATGCAAGTGAAGAAGCTTTTGCAGCTGTAGCATACATACGACTTGTGAAGAATAATGATATTGAAGTTGCTTTAGTATCTGCAAAAGCTCGAGTCAGCCCATTGAAACCATTATCAATACCAAGATTGGAGTTGCAGGCTGCGGTCATGGGAAATCGATTATTGAATACCATACATAAATGAATTTGTAAAACTTTGACCTGTTTCATAGACCAATCAATTTTTTTTTTTTTGTTTT